TATATGTGTCTAACATTCAAGAGTAATCTGGCAGCTGTGTATTGATGACGTATTGATGACGTATTGATGACGTATTGATGGCGTATTTCTTGAGATGTGACCTCCACCAGGGGAGTTTATGTCTATAATACAGTGACCTTAGGTAGGTAAGGTTTCGTCAGGAAACAGGACAAGTGTTTCCTGACATGGGTCATAGATGATGACCCGGAGGTCATCTGATCAAGTGTGTCCTCGATGAAACACTGCCTTTCTTGAGTTATCTTGGGTGGCTAACCCTCCGGGGTTAAAAATTCGAACAAAATCTCATCTGGCACTAGTGGTCAAGCACATATGGTGGGTCACAGATTTACCAAGGTGTTCCTTATTTATCAGTTTCTCGGTATAATACTCTTTATCTAGTACTGAAGTGATACCAGTGAGTGGGTGAGTATCATGAGTGACGGTGTTGAGTCAACATAGTGAGTGGGTGAGTATCATGAGTGACGGTGTTGAGTCAACATAGTGAGTGGGTATCATGAGTGGCGGTGTTGAGTCAACATAGTGAGTGGGTGAGTATCATGAGTGACGGTGTTGAGTCAACATAGTGAGTGGGTGAGTATCATGAGTGATGATGTTGGGTCAACATAGTGAGTATCATGAGCGGTGATGTTGAGTCAACATAGTATCATGAGTGATGATGTTGAGTCAACATAGTGAGTATCATGAGTGATGATGTTGGGTCAACATAGTGAGTATCATGAGTGATGATGTTGAGTCAACATAGTATCATGAGTGATGATGTTGAGTCAACATAGTGAGTGAGTATCATGAGTGATGATGTTGGGTCAACATAGTGAGTATCATGAGTGATGATGTTGGGTCAACATAGTGAGTGATGTTGAGTCAACATAGTGAGTATCATGAGTGATGATATTGAGTCAACATAGTATCATGAGTGATGATGTTGGGTCAACATAGTGAGTGGGTGAGTATCATGAGTGATGATGTTGAGTCAACATAGTGAGTATCATGAGTGATGATGTTGGGTCAACATAGCGAGTATCATGAGTGATGTTGAGTCAACATAGCGAGTAGGTGAGTATCATGAGTGATGATGTTGAGTCAACATAGTGAGTATCATGAGTGATGATGTTGAGTCAACATAGTGAGTGAGTATCATGAGTGATGTTGAATCAACATAGTGAGTGAATATCATGAGTGATGATGTTGAGTCAACATAGTGAGTGAGTATCATGAGTGATGATGTTGAGTCAACATAGTGAGTATCATGAGTGATGATGTTGGGTCAACATAGTGAGTATCATGAGTGATGATGTTGAGTCAACATAGTGAGTATCATGAGTGATGATGTTGAGTCAACATAGTGAGTATCATGAGTGATGATGTTGAATCAACATAGTGAGTGAATATCATGAGTGAAGATGTTGAGTCAACATAGTGAGTATCATGAGTGATGTTGAATCAACATAGTGAGTGAATATCATGAGTGATGATGTTGAGTCAACATAGTGAGTATCATGAGTGATGTTGAATCAACATAGTGAGTGAATATCATGAGTGAAGATGTTGAGTCAACATAGTGAGTGAGTATCATGAGTGATGATGTTGAGTCAACATAGTGAGTGAGTATCATGAGTGATGATGTTGAGTCAACATAGTGAGTATCATGAGTGATGATGTTGAGTCAACATAGTGAGTATCATGAGTGATGTTGAATCAACATAGTGAGTGAATATCATGAGTGATGATGTTGAGTCAACATAGTGAGTATCATGAGTGATGATGAGTCAACATAGTGAGTGAGTATCATGAGTGATGATGTTGGGTCAACATAGTGGGTGAGTATCATGAGTGATGATGTTGAGTCAACATAGTGAGTATCATGAGTGATGATGGGTCAACATAGTGAGTATCATGAGTGATGATGTTGGGTCAACATAGTATCATGAGTGATGATGTTGGGTCAACATAGTGAGTATCATGAGTGATGATGTTGGGTCAACATAGTGAGTATCATGAGTGATGATGTTGGTTCAACATAGTGAGTGAGTATCATGAGTGTCATATGATGATTCAACATAGTGAGTGAGTGAGTATCATGAGTGATGATGTTGGGTCAACATAGTGAGTATCATGAGTGACGATGTTGAGCCAACAAAGTGAATGAGTATCATGAGTGATGATGTTGAGTCAACATAGTGAGTATCATGAGTGATGATGTTGAGTCAACATAGTGAGTATCATGAGTGATGATGTTGAGTCAACATAGTGAGTGGGTGAGTATCATGAGTGATGATGGGTCAACATAGCGAGTAAGCGAGTATCATGAGTGATGATGTTGAGTCAACATAGTGAGTGAGTATCATGAGTGATGGGTCAACGTAGCGAGTAAGTGAGTATCATGAGTGATGATGTTGAGTCAACATAGTGAGTATCATGAGTGATGATGTTGGGTCAACATAGTGAGTGAGTATCATGAGTGATGATGTTGGGTCAACATAGTGAGTATCATGAGTGATGATGTTGAGTCAACATAGTGAGTGAGCATCATGAGTGATGTTGGGTCAACATAGTATCATGAGTGATGATGTTGAGTCAACATAGTGAGTGAGTATCATGAGTGATGATGTTGAGTCAACTTAGTGAGTGAGTATCATGAGTGATGATGTCGGGTCAACATAGTATCATGAGTGATGATGTTGAGTCAACATAGTGAGTATCATGAGTGATGTTGAGTCAACATAGTGAGTGGGTGAGTATCATGAGTGATGATGTTGAGTCAACATAGTGAGTGAGTATCATGAGTGATGATGTTGGGTCAACAAAGCGAGTGAGTATCATGAGCGATGATGTTGAGTCAACATAGTGAGTATCATGAGTGATGATGAGTCAACATAGTGAGTGAGTATCATGAGCGATGATGTTGAGTCAACATAGTGAGTGAGTATCATGAGTGATGATGAGTCAACATAGTGAGTGAGTATCATGAGTGATGATGTTGGGTCAACATAGTATCATGAGTGATGATGTTGGGTCAACATAGTGAGTGAGTATCATGACTGATGTTGAGTCAACATAGTATCATGAGTGATGATGTTGGGTTAACATAGTGGGTGAGTATCATGAGTGATGTTGAGTCAACATAGTGAGTATCATGAGTGATGATGTTGGGTCAACATAGTGGGTGAGTATCATGAGTGATGACGCTGAGTCAACATAGTGAGTGAGTATCACGAGTGATGATGTTGAGTCAACATAGTGAGTATCATGAGTGTGAGTTGGTGAACATAGTGAGTGAGTATCGTGAGTGATGATGTTGAGTCAACATAGTGAGTATCATGAGTGATGATGTTGGGTCAACATAGTGAGTGAGTATCATGAGTGATGATGTTGAGTCAACATAGTGAGTGGGTATCATGAGTGATGATGAGTCAACATAGTGAGTGTGAAGTAATCATGAGTGAGCGTGTTGAAGTAACATAGCGAGGGGTGAGTATCATGAGTGATGTTGGGTCAACAGTGAGTGGTGCGAGTATCAAGAGTGACGGTGTGGGATCAACATATGTGAGTGGCGAGTTCCATGAGTCCCACGTGTTGGCGTCAACTTGATAGTATACAATACAGTCACAGGGAGTCGATCTGTAAAATGCAAGACACCACGGGGATGAATAATCTTTCAAGCTCAGGATCTTCAAACGTCTCCGTCGCGTCATCAGGAGCTATGCAGTGCTTTCAAGAGTAGCGTGGTGACAAAAACCAGTCAGGTACTCTGAGATGAAAATTTCCTGCATCAGCCACCTGTCCTTGCTGCTCTGAACGTGTGCATAGCTCCTGATGACACAAGTAGATGAGTGAAAGATCTTGATTCGAAATATTTCCATTCCCGTGCTTGTCTGAAGTAATTCGTTTACTACAAGTCATTCCCACTATAACTACACACATAATTTTGGCGACTCGACTGTCTTACACAGTAACAGACTTTTAAATTACGTAGATAAAACAAAAAGTCAAGTTGACTTGTTTTCATGATTGCAGATTTACACTTGACACTGAAACAGCCATGTCCTTTACAATAACATAAACGTACAGGACCCGAAGGTACACCTTGGGAACCCAACATGCTATCAGTAGGGTCTGATTATATTCAATATTTCAATATTATTTCCAATTCTTACCCGTGTCTCATACAGGTTGAACAGAGGAACCTAAGTTCACCCGTCTTTGGAATAGTGTTCATTTCCCACTAAACACCTTTATAATTACTATCACATTCGTTTTGTCAGTTTCGTAAGGTGAAGTCTGGATCTTCTCTTAATTATGGTATAACTTAACAACTGTCCTCAGAGATTTGTTAAGTTATACCATGAATTAAGGAAAGATCCTGGACTTCACCTTACGATACAGACAAAGCAAATGCGATAGTAATTATGGACAAGGTAAGATAAGATTTCGTTCGGATTTTTAACCCCGGAGGGTTAGCCACCCAGGATAACCCAAGAAAGTCAGTGCGTCATCGAGGACTGTCTAACTTATTTCCATTGGGGTCTTTAATCTTGTCCCCCAGGATGCGACCCACACCAGTCGACTAACACCCAGGTACCTATTTGCTGCTAGGTGAACAGGAGGTGAACAGGACAACAGGTGTAAGGAAACGTGTCGAAATGTTTCCACCCGCCGGGAATCGAACCCGGGCCCTCCGTGTGTGAAGCGGGAGCTTGAGCCACCAGTGGAAAAATGAACATGATATTATAAGACGGGGGACCTTACGTGCCTCTTAAACCAGTCAACAGAGTCTAGTGCCTACGCCGTTAGCTGTTTATTTAACCCTGTTACAAGTATATAAATTTTTTTTTGAAATGCACATTAATACACTGCCGCAATATGAAAATAGAAAAATTATAGATACTACAATTAAAATTTTGTGTGTTCTATTACCTGTTTAAATTTTCATTTTGTTAGGTCAACTTTGTGTCTCTCTCTAATAAATAGTTTTGGTACAGGTCAAGCGACGTGGGCCATGAGTTGTGGCCCGGGTCAGCGGGCATGGAAGGCTTGGTACAGGCGCCCATCAATGCCAATACCAAAGTCATCTTCATCATCCATGGATTCAGCGAGTCATCACACAGACCCTGGATACACAGGCTGACTGATGGTAAGTTGACACACACACACACACACACACACACACACACACACACACACACACACACACACACACACACACAATGATCGACACACTTGCCGAGGTGGCCAGGAGAGCACACATGGGGGGAGCAAAGTTACTAGTTATGGGTGATTTCAATCACAAGGAGATTGACTGGGAAAACCTGGAGCCCCATGGGGGTCCCGAAACATGGAGAGCCAAGATGATGGATGTGGTACTGGAAAACCTCATGCATCAACATGTTAGAGACACTACCAGAGAGAGAGGAGAGGATGAATCAGCAAGGCTGGACCTTGTATTCACCATGAGTAGTTCGGACATCGAGGGTATCATGTATGAAAGGCCCCTGGGAGCTAGTGATCATGTGGTTCTGTGCTTCGACTACATAGTTGAGCTCCAAATGGAGAGAGTAGCAGGAATAGGCTGGGAAAAACCAAACTACAAAAGGGGGAACTACTCAGGCATGAGGAACTTCCTTCAAGACATTCAGTGGGAGAGGGAACCGATAGGAAAACCAGTACAAGAAATGATGGACTATGTAGCAACAAAATGCAAGGAGGCAGAGGAGAGGTTTGTTCCCAAGGGAAACAGAAATAATGGGAAGAACAGAACGAGTCCTTGGTTCACCCAATGGTGTAGGGAGGCAAAAACTAGGTGTATTAGAGAATGGAAAAGGTACAGAAGACAGAGAACTCAGGAAAATAAAGAAATCAGCCGAAGAGCCAGAAACGAATATGCACAGATAAGAAGGGAGGCTCAGAGACAATATGAAAATGACGTAGCATCAAAAGTAAAGACTGACCCGAAGCTGTTGTACAGCCACATCAGGAGGAAAACAACAGTCAAGGACAAGGTAATCAGACTGAGGAAGGGTGATGGGGAATTCACAAGAAACGACCAAGAGGTATGTCAGGAGCTCAACACAAGATTTAAAGAGGTATTTACAGTGGAAACCAGTAGGACTCCAGGAAATCAGAACAGGGGGGCACACCAGCAAGTGCTGGATGAGGTACATATAACCAAGGAGGAGGTGAAGAAGCTGCTATGCGAACTTGACACCTCAAAGGCGGTGGGACCAGACATCTCTCCATGGATCCTTAAAGAGGGAGCAGAGATATTGTGTGAGCCATTAACAAAGATCTTCAACACATCATTTGAAACTGGGCAACTCCCTGAGGTATGGAAAATGGCAAATGTAGTCCCAGTTTTTAAAAAGGGAGACAGACATGAGGCACTAAACTACAGACCTGTATCACTAACGTGTATAGTATGCAAGGTCATGGAGAAGATCATCAGGAGGAGAGTGGTGGGGCACCTGGAAAGAAACAAGTGTATAATTGACAACCAGCACGGTTTCAGGGAAGGAAAATCCTGTGTCACAAACCTACTAGAGTTTTATGACAAGGTGACAGAAGTAAGACAAGAGAGAGAGGGGTGGATCGACTGCATATTTTTGGACTGCAAGAAGGCCTTCGACACAGTTCCTCACAAGAGGTTACTGCAAAAGCTAGAGGATCAGGCACACATAACAGGAAAGGCACTGCAATGGATCAGAGAATATCTGACAGGGAGGCAACGAGCCATGGTACGCGACGAGGTGTCAGAGTGGGCGCCTGTGACAAGCGGGGTTCCACAGGGGTCAGTCCTAGGACCTGTGCTGTTCTTGGTATATGTGAACGACATAACGGAAGGGATAGACTCAGAAGTGTCCTTGTTTGCAGATGATGCGAAGTTAATGAGAAGAATCAAATCGGATGAGGATTAGGCAGGACTACAAAGAGACCTGGACAGGCTACAAGCCTGGCCCAGCAACTGGCTCCTTGAATTTAACCCTGCCAAATGCAAAGTCATGAAGATTGGGGAAGGGCAAAGAAGACCGCAGACACAATATAGTTTAGATGGCCAAAGACTTCAAACCTCACTCAAGGAAAAAGATCTGGGGGTGAGTATAACACCGAGCATATCTCCTGAGGCGCACATAAATCAGATAACTGCTGCAGCATACGGGCGCCTGGTAAACCTACGGATAGCGTTCCGATACCTCAGTAAGGATTCTTTTAAGACTCTGTATACCATTTACGTCAGGCTCATACTGGAGTATGCTGCACCAGTTTGGAATCCACACCTAGTCAAGCACGTCAAGAAATTAGAGAAAGTGCAAAGGTTTGCAACAAGACTAGTCCCAGAGCTATGGGGATTGTCTTACGAAGAAAGGTTGAGGGAAATCGGCCTGACGACACTGGAGGCCAGGAGGGTCAGGGGAGACATGATAACGACATATAAAATACTGCGCGGAATAGACAAGGTGGACAAAGACAGGATGTTCCAGAGATGGGACACAGACACAAGAGGTCACAATTGGAAGTTGAAGACTCAGATGAATCGAAGGGATGTTAGGAAGTATTTCTTCAGTCATAGAGTAGTCAAGTCATGGAATAGTCTAGAAAGTGAAGTAGTGGAGACGGGAACCATACATAGTTTTAAGGCGGGGTATGATAAAGCTCATGTAGCAGGGAGAGAGAGGACCTAGTAGCAATCAGTGAAGAGGCGGGGCCAGGAGCTATGACTCGACCCCTGCAACCACAAATAGGTGAGTACAAATAGGTGAGTACACACACACACACACACACACACACACACACACGCACCGTGTACGTTAGGCCCATATTGGAGTATGCGGTACCAGTTTGGAACCCACACCTAGCCAAGCACGTAAAGAAACTAGAGGAAGTGCAAAGGTTTGCAACAAGACTAGTCCCAGAGCTAAGAGGTATGTCCTACGAGGAGAGGTTAAGGGAAATCAACCTCCTGACGACACTGGAGGACAGGAGAGATAGGGGGGACATGATAACGACATACAAAATACTGAGAGGAATTGACAAGGTTGTCAAAGACAGGATGTTCTAGAGATTGGACACAGTAACAAGGGGACACAGTTGGTAGCTGAAGACACAGATGAATCACAGGGATGTTAGGAAGTATTTCTTCAGCCACAGAGTAGTCAGGAATTGGAATAGTTTGGGAAGCGATGTAGTGGAGGCAGGATCCATACATAGCTTTAAGCAGAGGTACGATAAAGCTCATGGTTCAGGGAGAGTGACCTAGTAGCGACCAGTGAAGAGGCGGGGCCAGGAGCTTGGACTCGACCCCTGCAACCTCAACTAGGTGAGTACAACTAGGTGAGTACACACACACACACACACACACACACACACACACACACACACACACACACACACACACACACACACACACACACACACGCACCGTGTACGTTAGGCCCATATTGGAGTATGCGGTACCAGTTTGGAACCCACACCTAGCCAAGCACGTAAAGAAACTAGAGAAAGTGCAAAGGTTTGCAACAAGACTAGTCCCAGAGCTAAGAGGTATGTCCTACGAGGAGAGGTTAAGGGAAATCAACCTGACGACACTGGAGGACAGGAGAGATAGGGGGGACATGATAACGACATACAAAATACTGAGAGGAATTGACAAGGTGGACAAAGACAGGATGTTCCAGAGATTGGACACAGTAACAAGGGGACACAGTTGGTAGCTGAAGACACAGATGAATCACAGGGATGTTAGGAAGTATTTCTTCAGCTACAGAGTAGTCAGTAAGTGGAATAGTTTGGGAAGCGATGTAGTGGAGGCAGGATCCATACATAGCTTTAAGCAGAGGTATGATAAAGCTCACGGCTCAGGGAGAGTGACCTAGTAGCGATCAGTGAAGAGGCGGGGCCAGGAGCTAGGACTCGACCCCTGCAACCACAAATAGGTGAGTACACACACACGCACACACACACAGGAGGAGATTGGTCGAACACCTAGAAAGGAACAAGATTATAAATGAAAACCAACATGGGTTCATGGAAGGCAAATCTTGTATCACAAACCTCCTGGAGTTTTATGACAAGGTAACAGAAGTAAGACACGAGAGAGAGGGGTGGGTAGGTTGCGTTTTCCTAGACTGCAGGAAGGCCTTTGACACAGTTCCCCACAAGAGATTAGTGCAGAAGCTGGAGGATCAGGCGCATGTAAAAGGGAGGGCACTGCAATGGATAAGGGAATACCTGACAGGGAGGCAGCAACGAGTCATGGTACGTGAAGAGGTATCACAGTGGGCGCCTGTGACGAGCGGGGTCCCACAGGGGTCAGTTCTAGGACCAGTGCTATTTTTGATATATGTGAACGACATGATGGAAGGAATAGACTCTGAAGTGTCCCTGTTCGCAGATGATGTGAAGTTGATGAGAAGAATTAAATCGGACGAGGATGAGGCAGGACTGCAAAGAGACCTGGACAGGCTGGACATGTGGTCCAGTAACTGGCTTCTCGAATTCAATCAAGCCAGGGGCAAAGAAGACCGCAGACAGAGTATAGGCTAGGTGGACAAAGACTGCAGACCTCACTCAGAGAGAAAGACCTTGGGGTAACCATAACACCGTGCACATCACCGGAGGCACACATCAACCAAATAACTGCTGCAGCATACGGGCGCCTGGCAAACCTGAGAATAGCGTTCCGATACCTTAATAAGGAATCGTTCAAGACACTGTACACTGTGTATGTTGGGCCCATACTGGAGTATGCAGCACCAGTCTGGAACCCACACCTGGTCAAGCACGTCAAGAAGTTAGAGAAAGTACAAAGGTTTGCAACAAGGCTAGTCCCAGAGCTCAAGGGAATGTCGTACGAGGAAAGGTTAAGGGAAATCGGACTGACGACACTGGAGGACAGAAGGGTCAGGGGAGACATGATAACGACATACAAGATACTGCAGGGAATAGACAAGGTGGACAGAGATAGGATGTTCCAGAGAGGGGACACAGGGACAAGGGGTCACAACTGGAAGCTGAAGACTCAGACGAGTCACAGGGACGTTAGGAAGTATTTTTTCAGTCATAGAGTTGTCAGCAAGTGGAATAGCCTAGCAAGTGAAGTAGTAGAGGCAGGAACCATACATAGTTTTAAGAAGAGGTATGACAAAGCTCAGGAAGCAGAGAGAGGACCCAGTAGCGATCAGTGAAGAGGCGGGGACAGGAGCTGAGTCTCGACCCCTGCAACCACAATTAGGTGAGTACAATTAGGTGAGTACACACACACACACACACACACACACACGCACACACACGCACACACACACCTACTAGGGACCAAATAAATAAAAAAAGTTAATTTTTTTAACATGTAATCTTCAGATTTTGGGAGGAAAAAGATACTTTTAACATTATACAAAGGTAAGAAAGAACTGATAAGAAACTGATAAGAAACATTGGATAACATTAAATGCGATAACTAGCAACTATGGCTGCTAGAATTCTTTCCTTGCCAGTGTCTTACATCAATATAATAATAATAATAATAATAATAATAATAATATAATAATAATAATAATGTTTATTTACTACCAGGCCTGGTCACAGACCGGGCCGCGGGGGCGTTGACCCCCGAAACTCTCTCCAGGTAAACTCCAGGTAAACATGTACAAGGTATACAGACCACAGCTGACATCAGTGACATACTACTATATAGAAAGTGACTTGTTATGATGAGTATTTCCCGCAAATTAGGTCAGTTTTATCCCAGGATGCGACCCACACCAGTCCACTGACACCCTGGTACCTATTATTACTGATGGGTGAACATGGACAACCGGTGTACAGAACCACGCGTAATGTTTCCACCCTCGTCGAGAACCAAACCCGGACCCGTGGCCCACCAGGTCACGGGTCCGGTGGCGAAAGGAAAGTATATAATATATACCAACTTTTCTTAATCTTTAATTTCTTTTAAGATAGACTAAATACTGAAGACGGGACACCGAGAACCGAGATCTGTTTCTGCAGTTATAAACAAGTAATTACCCTATTTTTCTGCATATAAGACGCACATTTTTCCCACTAAAAGCCTTGGAAAATCAGCCTGCGCCTTATATGCCCGAGGTCAGCGTCAAGGGTAGGCCTGGTGTTACACTTCAACAGTTGTTTACTAATGTTATGTTACAACTGCTGATTAACACGTGTTATACATCTCACATGAGCGTGCGCCTTATATGCCGGAAAATACGGTACATTAACCGAATTCCTCAGGAAGAAGTCAGGTCCTGACTTTACCTGACTCACTGTGTCTCATTTCCCTGATCTTCTTTCTCCAGCTTCATTTCTCATTCGTGACTTACTAAAACTAGAACAAAGATAGAACAATAGAACACCAGCTAAGAGACTGTTCACTCTACTGATGGAAGAACACAAGGAGAACAATATAACTCCAGCAGTTATGAGTGTTCACTCTACTGATGGAAGAACACAAGGAGAACAATATAACTCCAGCATTTATGAGTGTTCACTCTACTGATGGAAGAACACAAGGAGAACAATATAACTCCAGCAGTTATGAGTGTTCACTCTACTGATGGAAGAACACAAGGAGAACAATATAACTCCAGCAGTTATGAGTGTTCACTCTACTGATGGAAGAACACAAGGAGAACAATATAACTTCAGCAGTTATGAGTGTTCACTGTACTGCTGGAAGAACACAAGGAGAACAATAATCAAATAAAATCAGTTACAGAAACAGCCTTGGAAAGCTAACAGAAAGCTTTAGTTAGCCTTCAGATAACGTACACGCACACACGCACAATGTGTGTGTGTGTGTGTGTGTGTGGGTACTCACCTAATTGTACTCACTTAATTGTGGTTGCAGGGGTCGAGTCACGACTCCTGGCCCCGCCTCTTCACTGGTCGCTACTAGGTCACTCTCCCTGCTTCATGAACTTTATCATACCTCTTCTTAAAGCTATGTATGGATCCTAGGTGTGTGTGTGTGTGTGTGTGTGTGTGTGTGTGTGTGTGTGTGTGTGTGTGTGTGTGTGTCGTGTTAAATAAGCCGAACTTGCCTAATAGGCCCAATAAGCCTAACTCACTGAAAAAACAAATTTTTCCAAAAATTCTTTCACTGACCGATAGCTATTTTTTTCATTAAGAATATAAAAATTAATATTTATGGACCAAAACTAACTTAAGAACCTCACATAACCTTCCTAAAACTAACTTAAGAACCCCACATAACCTTCCTAAAACTAACTTAAGAACCTCACATAATCTTCCTAAAACTAACTTAAGAACCTCACATAACCTTCCTAAAACTAACTTAAGAACCTCACATAATCTTCCTAAAACTAACTTAAAACTCACATAACTTCCTAAAACTAACTTTAACCACATAACTTCCTAAAACAACTCATAACCTCCAAACTTTAAAACCCCAACAAACCTCAAAACTAACCTAAAACTACTTAACCTCACAACTAACTTACCTCAAAACTCAAATTTAAATAGAACCTACATAATCTCCTAAAACTACTTAAAACCCTAATAACCTTAAAACTACTAAGAACCTTCCTAAAACCTACTAAAACTCACATAAAACCTTCAAATAACTTCCCAAAAACCTAACTTAAACTCCTAAACTAACCTTACAAAACTACTAAACTCCTCAAAACTCCTTAAAATCACTTAAAATCCTCATTTAATTTCCTAAAACAACTTAAACTATTAATACTTCCTTAAACTAACTTAAGAATTCTTCCTTAGCCTTCTAAAACTTTAAGCCTCAATAACCTTCCTAAAACTTACTTTAAGACCTCACAAACCTTCCTAAAACTAACTAATGGGCCTTATTATTAACCTTCTAAAGGAAGCAATTATTGGGAGATTCTCTAGCTTGGGCGTGATTGAACTAATTCATTAATTTCGTAAATCTAATATTTGTTTCCTAGGTCAGATCTAATTTCAGCTGATATTGCACAAAACAAAACTTCTTCGCTTTTCGGGCAAATGTGGCCAACTTGCCAAATGGCCAAATAGTAAAACTAAATTTAGAACAACTATTTTATCAAGTTTTCTTAATTTTCTACAGTTATATGTTTAAAGTTATATTTTTTTTACGTTAATGTAAAATTAATAATTTTTTACCAAAAGAACCTTAGAAAACTTACCTATCCTTTTTATAATAAGCGCTATTTAATTTAGCCTAAGCCAACTTATAATATATATATATATATATATATATATATATATATATATATATATATATATATATATATATATATATATATATATATATATATATATATTTAGTGTGATTTATATATGTGTGTGTGTGTGTGTGTGTAGTTTTTATATATATTATCTCGTGTTAATATCTAATATAAAGTTTAAACTTTAGTCTTACATTATCTATAAGTTACAATTAACCTCTTCAACTTGTCTTCTAAACAAACAAGTTTTAAATTAAGGACTTATCATAATTATTAATATATACAACCCGCATAAATTTTAAAACAGTATATATCATTGTACATACGTGGCTTTCCTAATCATATCTGAGGATTTGTTTTTCCTTGTGTGTTTGACTACGTCAGCACTGCTGGTAGATGGCGCAGAGGAGACAGTAGTGGTAGTGGTGGACTACTGGGATATGCTGAGCCTGATATACTCTCACATGAGACAGAATGCTCGTCTGGTAGCCACACTGGTGGCTGCCATCATTGACAACCTCGTCACTCATAACAACATGAAGTGAGTTCCTCTCGCTCTTTAAAGAGACACCTAAGTCCCCCCGTCTTCTAATGACATGTTCATTTTTTTCCGCTATAATCTACCTTGTCCATAATTACTATCGTATTTGCTTTGTTTCGTAAGGTGAAGTCCAGGATCTTTCCTTAATTCATGGTATAACTTAACAAATCTTTGAGGATAATTGTGTTGCAGAGCTCACAAGGTAGATTATATACACTCATATGCAAAATAATCACGGGGGAACTGAATGATAACTCTAGACCTTTCACAACCAACTCATCAGTAGCTTGCAATGTTGCAGACATAGAGCAGGAACTCCAGGAAGATCCGTTCGTGTGATTGCCTCTTCAAATCACATGAATAGACTTTTCTGGTTTTCCTGCTCTATTTCTGCAACAGTGCAAGTTCCTGATGACGTGTTGATGGCAATACGAAAGGCCTAGAGCTATCATTCGAGCCCCCCTGTAGTTATTTTACATCTTGTCTCGCTTGTTCGTGCTTATTGCATAATTCACTCGATATGTAATTTTTTTGTTTTGGTTTCAATTTTTTTTTTTGCTTATAATAAATCTCTCAGACTGCTGCATGAGTAAATTACATAAATTATTTTGGAATTAAGAATAACGGTCCCTTTGTACCATTATAATTATGGGAAAATGGAAATCATGGGAGTCCCTCACATCAAGGTTTCTGGGGACAACAGTCATATTTCTGTACCACTGGAGTCCCTTGTGTAGTGTCAAGCAGGGTAGTCCCTAGGTAGTCCCTAGGTAGTCCCTAGGTAGTCAGCAGGCTCGAGACCACTTACAGAAGACTCCGGTTTTTTTCATAACTATAATTTTTAAAGGGGGTGGAGGGGTAAGCCAGCGGAAGGCCACTTTCAGATGACCACCAAAAGATCCAGCTGTGGGTCATTATATGACTAGAACCCCGAGTCAGGAAACCCTTGTCCTGTTTCCTGCGAACCTATCTACCTATTGTTATAGATAGTTGGCACTTGGCTTACAGTTACCGTAGCACACAACAGTTAATTTCAGTACTGGACCCAACTAAATTCCATCTGTTGGACGTTGTAGGTATTAAAAAAGGCGTTCAAGCCAGCATTCAAATCCTCTCCTCACATGTGCAAGAGTCAGGTAACTTTATTCTGAAACGTTTCGCCTACACAATAGGCTTCTTCAGTCGAGTACAGAATAGGCAGCAGAAGCAGTTGAGATGTAAAGACGATGTAATCAGTCCATCACCCTTGTAGACGTAGTTTTGAGGTGGTCAGTCCCTCACCCTGGAGAAGAGTTTTACTCCATAGTCTTATATCCTTCCTGAATCTGAATTTTTCCAACTTAAAACCATTGCTGCGAATCCTGTCTTGGCTAGTTATTTTTTTTTTTTACACAGGGTTTGACAAGGTTAAGGATCCCTAGCTTTATTGACAGCTATATTACAGGTTAAGGATTCCTAACTTTATTGCCAAGCTAAGAGCTGTTACCTACATCAGCTCATTTGAAAGCATTTTTATTGTTATGAGACATACAAGTACGGGACAGGATGAAGTTGGAGCCATCTGTGGGCCAGCATTTTCATTTGATCAACTGACTTTATCTCGTTGACATCATTATGCTGTACGAATGTGTTCCATACTCGAGTCATCCTGGGTATGTATGATCTCAGATGGAGTGATGTTCTGGAGAAGGGTACAGCCAGAGTGAAGTTGCTGCTTTCTGCCCGTCTTGTGGCATAAAAGCTTGTTTCACGCTGTCCTCGAAGTGGATCCAAATGTGGTATTTTGACAATATTGGCCTTGTACATAACAGTAAGGCCACCCACATCCCTCCTATGTTGAAGGCTCTGCTGAAATGACAGATCTATCCAGGATGGGTCCAGGCGAGAGATGAGACGTCTTGCTCTGTTCTCTACTCTGTCAAGCAGTCGCAGATGAGAGGGGGGGGGGCAGGCAAACCAAGAAAGTGGAGCATACTCAAGGTGTGAGCGTACTTGTGCCTCGTACAGGATCTTGCAACCCCTACTGTCAAGCAGATGCGAGATACGGCGAAGTGCTGTAAGCTTCCTGGCTGCCTTGTTTGCAAGATTTACAACATGGTTCTTCATGGTTAGTTTGGAGTCAAATTTCACCCCAAGGATATCAACTTCTTCTCCAGGTGCCAACATCGTCCCATTCATCCTTACTACTGCACCAGCATTACCATCATGGTGCCTAGAGACGATCATCATTTGCGTTTTCTCAGGTGCAAATGTTACTTGCCATCTATTTCCCCAAGCTGATATAGCTCTCAGCTGGTGATTGATGTAGCTTAGAGCAGCTGGCATTTCTTCTCTTGGATAAGTGAATGTCAGTGTACAGTCGTCTGCATATGCATGTGATTCTGGGATGAGATGAAGAAGGTCGTTGAAGTAGACATTCCATAACAGTGGACCCAGCACGCTTCCTTGTGGAACGCTTGCCCCAGTAGGATGCTTTGCTGATTCCGTTCCATTGAGGACTACACTTAGAGATCTACCATGAAGGTAATCACTGAGGAGACATAGCGTAGAGCCTGCAATTCCCAGTGGTTGAAGTTTTGCTAAGAGGCCCTGGTGCCACACCCGGTCGAAAGCGCCAGCAATGTCCAGTGCTACCACACAGCTGACTTTGGATTCATCCAGTGACTGGTGCCACTTAGTGGAGAGGTTTAACAACAGATCAGCAGCAGAGTAACCTTTCCTGAAGCCATATTGACGATAACAAAATAGTGAGTGGTAGTCAAAAAAATCTGTCATTTGTCTTGAGATTATTGTCTCAAGGATCTTACCAGTGATTGACAGGAGTGACACTGGTCTGTAGTTGCTGATTTCTGCTCTGCTCTTCTTTTTGTGAACAGGGACTACATTTGCCTCTTTCCATGGAGAGGGCCATTTACACTGCACTAGGCAGTGCTGAAAGATGCGAGTTAGAGGTGCTGCTAGCTGGTCTGCACATCTTCTCAACAATCTTGGGCTCAACTTGTCTGGGCCCACAGCCTTTTCTTGGTCAAGTGATTTAAGAAGGAAATGCACCTCCTCCTGCCTTATTGTCACCACTGACAGTTTTGACACAGTTCTTGCAGCTAGCCAAGGAGGGTCCCTTGCTGAATCAGGAACTTGCATTTTGGTAGCAAAGTGTTCAGCAAAGAGGTCCGCCTTCTCTTGACTACTAGTAGAGGTGGTCCCATCCTGTCGATTTAGAGGTGGAATAAGTTCATCAGGCAGATAACCTTGTCTGTCCTTGACCAGGGACCACCAGGTTTTGGAGCCTACCCTACCTGAAGCTAACTTTCTTTTAGTGTCCACCTCCCATTTAGCAATGGCCCACTTTTGAACATCACCCATATGCCTACAGGCTTGCATGTGCAAGTTCCTGTTATAGGTGGTAGGATGTCTCTTATACCTTCGCCATGCTTTGTACTTAGCAGTAGCAGCCTCTCTACAACGAAAGCCAAACCAAGGCTGATCTGTAGGCTTTGTCACATATTGCCGGTGAGGAATGTGTTCTTGTTGCAGATTAAGGATGTGTCCAGTGGAAGGCTTTTCACTTGGTTGTCAACATCCCCCTGGAGAAGAGCATTCCAGTCGGTGGTGGCGAGCTCAGAGCAAAGGGCTGGCCAATTACCTCTTTCCCATAGCCAGGTTGTGCGTGTGGACTCCTCACCTCGTTCTGTTGGGATCTTAAGTGTGGTAAAAACAGCCTTGTGGTCAGACGATCCAACGTAGCCGAGGGGTTAACAAGTGACTATGCCTTCTGCCAGATCACTCACTACTGGGTCAAGGGAGGAGCCAGAGATATGAGTAGGGAAATCAACAAAGTTTCTCATGTCAAACACTGCAAGAAGGTCATCAAAGTCCCTCTAGCACGCTATTTACATCCCCTTTATTTATTCCTGTTTTCCATTTATACACCTCGATCACATCCTCCCTAATTCTACGCCTTTCGAAAGAGTGCAGATTCAGGGCCCTCAGTCTATCCTCATAGCGAAGATTTCTGATACATGGGATCAACTTTGTCATCCTCCTTTGTACGTTTTCCAGAGCATTTATATCCATTCTGTAATACGTTGACCAGAACTGAGCAGCATAGTCTAAATGAGGCCTAACCAAGGATATATAGAGTTGAAGAACAAACTGAGGACTTCTATTATTTATGCTTCTTGATATGAAGCCAAGGATTCTGTTCGCATTATTGGACTGAAGAAGTCATTGGCTGGCGAAACGTTCATCAGTAAAGGCTACCAAATGTTGCACAGTTGGTTGGCCTACACTCGTAAAATTTCTCTCTCCTAAACCATACCACGGGCGGGGATAGAACCCGCGGGTTCTATCCCCGCCCGTGGTATGGTTTGTTTGCAATCGTGCCATTACGATTTCGTGAGTCAGTTCTCTCTCCTTGTCTCCGCGAAATGTTTGTTTTAATCGTGTCATGAAATGTACACAAGTAACCTTTTCAACAGTGTGTCCTTATTAGCTGGTTAATATAGGTTAATGTTAGGGTTAATATTGAAGGTTAATGTTATGGTTAATATGGTAGGTTAATATTCTCCAGGTTGAACCAGACGCACCTCATAGGGTTCAGTCTTGGTGGTCGTATTTCTGGAATGGTGGGAGCACGGATCACCACAGGTCAGCTGGCATCCATCACAGGTAACTTGACCACAATCACAGGTAACTTGACAACAATCACAGGTAACTTGACCACCATCACAGGTAACTTGACCACAATCACAGGTAACTTGACCACAATCACAGGTAACTTGACCACAATCACAGGTAACTTGACCACAATCACAGGTAACTTGACCACAATCACAGGTAACTTGACCACAATCACAGGTAACTTGACCACAATCACAGGTAACTTGACCACCATCACAGGCAACTTGACCACCATCACAGGTAACTTGACCACAATCACAGGTAACTTGACCACCATCACAGGCAACTTGACCACAATCACAGGTAACTTGACCACAATCACAGGTAACTTGACCACAATCACAGGTAACTTGACCACCATCACAAATAACTTGACCACAGTCACAGGTAACTTGACCTTTCTCAATGACATCTCTGCCAAGCCAACAGAAATCAGTCTCCGTTCTACAGCTGTCTCTCTCCTCTCTTGCTTGACACTGCTGCCATAATTCCAGGTGTGGCACTTATGTTGCCACAGCAGAAGTGTTGCCAAATAAGAGGTTTGAGAAGTTGTCACAATGGTTAACAGGCTGCTGCAGGTGTACCAATAAAACTGGTACACCTGCTTGTACCAATATCATTGGTACACTGCCCAGAGAATTACGTGGATGTTGATAATGGTATAAAATACCACAATTTTTGATGATTAGACACATGTACAACAGTTGGGCATCTTTATTGTTGAAACGTTTCGCCTACACAGTAGTCTTCTTCAGTCAAATACAGAGGCAGCAGGTGTAGTAGTGAAACGAAAATGATGTAATCAGTCCAGGCTGAGGGACTGACCACCTCAAATCCTATTTCTCCACTACTTCATCTGCAGCCTCTGAATTTGACTGAAGAAGCCTACTGAGTAAGCGAAACATTTCAACAAGATACCTAACTGTTGTGGGTAGTGGGGAAATTCATACGACCTAATACAACCCATTAATACACAGGTGCTAAGTAGACGGCATGCACTGTACGTCATACCCTGGGTAAGACAGTCAAATATTACGTAGTGTATACATCACGTACTCTCCACATGATTATTCAACACTATAAATAAGGTGGTAGGATTCTTAATATTCGCGTAGTATCACTACTTCCTGCATCTCAACTTACTGTCCTTGATGGTGTACGTGTTTGTTATCTCCGGTACTTCGTAAGTCTGTGTCTGAGGTGGCTGTCAACACGCCTGTTTGTTGCATCAGTATTTGTGTGTCTGTGTACTCACCTAGTACTCGCCTAGTTGTGGTTGCAGGGGTCGAGTCTAAGCTCCTGGCCCCGCCTCTTTACTGGCTGCTACTCACTCTACCCGCTCCGTGAGCTATATCATACCTCTCCTTAAAGCTATGTTTAGATCCTGCCTCCACTACATCACTTCCCAGACTATTCCACTTCCTGACTACTCTATGACTGAAGAAATACTTTCTGACATCTCTGTGTGTGTGTGTGTGTGTGTATGTGTGTGTGGGGTGGGGTGCGCGTGAGTGTCACTATAGACACAGGCGTGACAGCAGTCTGTCTCTGGTGGCAGCCGTCATGTGTATAGTGACAGACGTCATGTCTGGTGACAGCAATATATTTCATAACCTGCCATCACGTCACTTCAATATTTACAGGTATAGATGCGTCGTATCCCTGGGTGCCACCTGAATCTGACGAGGAGTTCTTGGAAGCCAGTGACGCAAGTCTGGTAGTCAACCTGCGTACTTCCCCAGTTGGATCACATTCACCTCCAGGTCACATAGATTTCTATCCTAATGGAGGCCTAACACAACCGGGATGTCAAGACTGGTACACCCCTTACCTAGGTATGTTACCTTCTTTACCATCTTAGGGTGTCCTGTAGCTCGGTCGCCAGCGCACTCAGCTCACACACTGAGGTACGGAGTTGGAATCCCCGGTACGGCTGGAAAACATTAGGGAGATGTTACGATAAGACACCTGATGTCCCTGGTCACTTATCGGGATCAAATGGGTACCAAACTGTTAGTGGACTGGTGTGGGTCGCATCCTGGGACAAAACTGACGTAATTTGCGGGAAATGCTCAGCATAACAAGGGACTTTACTTTCTATATAGTAGTATATCACTGATGTCAGCTATGGTCTGTATACCTTGTACATGTACTGGTAGTAATATATATTATTATCTCGAAGCCTGCGTTCATCTATGTTTGTAACAAGGTGCCTGTAACAAGGTGCCTGTAACAAGGTGCCTGTAACAAGGTGCCTGTAACAAGGTGCCTGTAACAAGGTGCCTGTAACAAGGTGCCTGTAACAAGGTGCCTGTAACAAGGTGCCTGTAACAAGGTGCCTGTAACAAGGTGCCTGTAACAAGGTCCTGTAACAAGGTGCCTGTAACAAGGTCCTGTAACAAGGTCCTGTAACAAGGTGCCTGTAACAAGGTCCTGTAACAAGGTGCCTGTAACAAGGTGCCTGTAACAAGGTGCCTGTAACAAGGTGCCTGTAACAAGGTGCCTGTAACAAGGTGCCTGTAACAAGGTGCCTGTAACAAGGTCCTGTAACAAGGTGCCTGTAACAAGGTCCTGTAACAAGGTCCTGTAACAAGGTGCCTGTAACAAGGTCCTGTAACAAGGTGCCTGTAACAAGGTGCCTGTAACAAGGTGCCTGTAACAAGGTCCTGTAACAAGGTGCCTGTAACAAGGTCCTGTAACAAGGTGCCTGTAACAAGGTGCCTGTAACAAGGTGCCTGTAAAAAGGTGCCTGTAACAAGGTGCCTGCAACAAGGTCCTGTAACAAGGTCCTATAACAAGGTGCCTATAACAAGGTGCCTGTAACAAGGTCCTGTAACAAGGTGCCTGTAACAAAATGCCTGTAACAAGGTCCTGTAACAAGGTGCCTGTAACAAAATGCCTGTACCAAGGTGCCTGTAACAAGGTGCCTGCAACAAGGTCCTGTAACAAGGTCCTATAACAAGGTGCCTATAACAAGGTGCCTGTAACAAGGTCCTGTAACAAGGTGCCTGTAACAAGGTGCCTGTAACAGGGTGCCTGTAACAAGGTCCTGTAACAAGGTGCCTGTAACAAGGTGCCTGTAACAAGGTGCCTGTAACAAGGTCCTGTAACAAGGTGCCTGTAACAAGGTCCTGTAACAAGGTGCCTGTAACAAGGTGCCTGTAACAAGGTGCCTGTAAAAAGGTGCCTGTAACAAGGTCCTGTAACAAGGTCCTGTAACAAGGTGCCTGTAACAAGGTCCTGTAACAAGGTGCCTGTAACAAAATGCCTGTAACAAGGCGCCTGTAACAAGGTGCCTGTAACAAGGTCCTGTAACAAGGTCCTATAACAAGGTGCCTATAACAAGGTGCCTGTAACAAGGTCCTGTAACAAGGTGCCTGTAACAAAATGCCTGTACCAAGGTGCCTGTAACAAGGTGCCTGCAACAAGGTCCTGTAACAAGGTCCTATAACAAGGTGCCTATAACAAGGTGCCTGTAACAAGGTCCTGTAACAAGGTGCCTGTAACAAGGTGCCTGTAACAGGGTGCCTGTAACAAGGTCCTGTAACAAGGTGCCTGTAACAAGGTGCCTGTAACAAGGTCCCTGTAACAAGGTGCCTGTAACAAGGTGCCTGTAACAAGGTCCTGTAACAAGGTGCCTGTAACAAGGTGCCTGTAACAAGGTGCCTGTAACAAGGTGCCTGTAACAAGGCGCCTGTAACAAGGTGCCTGTAACAAGATGCCTGTAACAAAGTGCCTGTAACAAGGTGCCTGTTTCAAGGTGCATGTAACCATGTGCCTGTAACAAGGTGCCTGTAACAAGGTGCCTGTAACAAGGTCCTGTAACAAGGTTCTATAACAAGGTGCCTATAACAAGGTGCCTGTAACCAGGTCCTGTAACAAGGTGCCTGTAACAAGGTTCCTGTAACAAGGTGCCTGTAACAAGGTGCCTGTAACAAGGTGCCTGTAACAAGGTCCTGTAACAAGGTCCTATAACAAGGTGCCTATAACAAGGTCCTGTAACAAGGTGCCTGTAACAAGGTGCCTGTAACAAGGTGCCTGTAACAAGGCGCCTGTAATAAGATCCTGTAACAAGGTGCCTGTAACAAGGTGCTTGTAACAAGGTCCTGTAACAGGGTGCCTGTAGCAAGGTGCCTGTAACAAGGTGCCTGTAACAAGGTCCTGTAACAAGGTCCTGTAACAAAGTGCCTGTAACAAAGTGCCTGTAACAAGGTGCCTGTAACAAGGTGCCTGTAACAAGGTGCCTGTAACAAGGTGCCTGTAACAAGGTCCTGTAACAAGGTCCTATAACAAGGTGCCTATAACAAGGTCCTGTAACAAGGTGCCTGTAACAAGGTGCCTGTAACAAGGTGTCTGTAACAAGGCGCCTGTAATAAGATCCTGTAACAAGGTGCCTGTAACAAGGTGCCTGTAACAAGGTCCTGTAACAGGGTGCCTGTAGCAAGGTGCCTGTAACAAGGTGCCTGTAACAAGGTCCTGTAACAAGGTCCTGTAACAAAGTGCCTGTAACAAAGTGCCTGTAACAAGGTGCCTGTAACAAGGTGCCTGTAACAAGGTCCTGTAACAAGGTGCCTGTAACAAGGTGCCTGTAACAAGGTGCCTGTAACAAGGTCCTGTAACAAGGTCCTGTTACAAAGTGCCTGTAACAAGGTGCCTGTAACAAGGTGCCTGTAACAAGGTGCCTGAAACAAGGTGCCTGTAACAAGGTGCCTGTAACTAGGTCCTGTAACAAGGTGCCTGTAACAAGGTCCTGTAACAAGGTCCTGTAACAAGGTCCTGTAACAAGGTGCCTGTAACAAGGTGCCTGTAACAAGATGCCTGTAACAAGGTGCCTGTAACAAGGTGCCTGTAACAGGGTGCCTGTAACAAGGTCCTGTAACAAGGTCCTGTAACAAGGTGCCTGTAACAAGGTGCCTGTAACAAGGCGCCTGTAACAAGGTGCCTGTAACAAGGTGCCTGTAACAAGGTACCTGTAACAAGGACCTGTAACAAGGTGCCTGTAACAAGGTGCCTGTAACAAGGTGCCTGTAACAAGGTGCCTGTAACAAGGTCCTATAACAAGGTCCTGTAACAAGGTGCCTGTAACAAGGTGCCTGTAACAAGGTGCCTGTAACAAGGTCCTGTAACAAGGTGCCTGTAACAAGGTGCCTGTAACAAGGTGCCTGTAGTTTCTGACATGTGTTCATATGTATATTTTACTCTTGCCGTTATAATTATTGGTATAAATTTTTGTCTGATTCATCATTATATTTGGCTAATTATCTTCTCGTTTAAAGCTAAAATTATCTTAGGCAAAAAAATAGGTTTAATGGGTAATAATTTGGATTCGGGGAATGATGATTTGGATTCGGGGAATGATAATTTGGATTCGGTGAATGATAATTTGGATTCGGCGAATGATAATTTGGATTCGGCGAATGATAGTTTGGATTCAACGAATGATAATTTGGATTCGGTGATGATAATTTGGATTCAGTGAATGATAATTTGGGAACAACAAATGAAAATTTCGGCTCAGCGAATGATAATTTGGATTCAACTAATGATAATCTCCATCTTCCCAGTCATGAAATAATGCGTCTGTGGTCACATTATTATTATAATCAAAGAGAAGCGCTAACCCACAAGGGCTATACAGCTCTGTGGTCACAGATTTGATTATTTATGGAGTAGGTTATATTTTAGTTTTCTCAGATATCTCGTCAGTCCAGGTTGACATCTAGCCAAGAAGAGGACCCCAGGAAGCAGTCGAAATATACAGACCAATCAACCTCCCGTGTGTATCTCAATATGGGTTATTACTGATAATAATAATAATAATAATAATAATAATAATAATAATAATAATAATAATAATAATATTTCTACCAGTACATGTACAAGGTATACAGACCATAGCTGACATCAATAACATACTACTATGTATATACAAAGTCACTTATGCTAAACATTTCCCGCAAATTAGGTCAGTGTCCCAGGATGCGACCCACACCAGTCCACTAACACCCAGGTAGCCATTTTACTGATGGGTTAACATAGACAACAGGTGTAAAGAAACACGACTGTTTCTACCCTGGCTGGGAATCGAACCCTGGCCGTGTGAAGCGAGAGCTGTAGCCACCAGGCCACCAGAGCCTCCAATTATTCGTTACACTTTAGTTATTCATCTAGTTCCAAGATAATTATCATTCACTGCTAACCAGTGTGTCAAACCCAACTAAGTTTTAGACTGCCTTTTGTGGGAAAAACAAGATATCCTGGTTACACCTCTCAATACTGTAGACAGTACCGACAAGATGAGGAATTAGACACATGTGCAACAACTTTTTATCAATACAATGACAATGTGAAGAATTATGTAGAAAAGATGAGGTAATCGGTCCCTCAGTCTTGACGTTGAAGAGTACGTAGTCAGTCATGCTGGCTGAGGGACTGACCACCTCAAAACTACGTCTTTAAGGCTGATGGACTGATTACATCGTCTTCACATCTCTACTGCTCCTGTTAACTCTTCTGAACTCGACTGAAGAAGCCTGCTGTGTAGGCGAAACGTTTCGGAATAAAGATATCTAACTGTTACACATGTGTCTTACCCAGCAAGATTGTCATGTACAGTTCTGGAGATGCGCACGACAAGTGATGAACAATTTCTCAAGTTACTTCATATATTGATAATAATAATAATAATAATAATAATAATAATAATAATAATAATAATCTTTATTCCTACAAGTACATGATACAACTTATACATACCATAGCTAACATCAACGGCATGTTGTATATACAGAGCATTTCAGACACCTTTAGGTTAATTTTGCTCCCCCCGGATGCGACCCACACCAGTCGGTTAACATGCAGGTACCTACTTACTGCTATGTGAGCAGGGACAGGAGGTGTCTTAAGGAAATACGCCCCCAATGTTTCCACTCGTGCCAGGGATCGAACCACGGACCTCAGTGTGTGAGATGAATGAACTTGTAATCGAGTATTGGAATATTTGCTCTTAAGTGAAGTTCCTGATATAACCTTCAGCCAGAAAACTTTTTTGATATAAAACCTCTTCTCCCATCAAATAGCCCGGTGTTACATGGACTTGACTCACGAAATCGTGATGACACGGGTAGGGTTAGAACTCGCGGTTAGAGAGTCTCAAAACTCCAGACCGACGCGTTAGCCACTGGGCCTACAAGCTAGTTTTGAGACTGATCTCGGGTTGTAACCCCACACATGGTATGCTTATATGGACTTACCGCGAGGGAGGCCGGATAGACACTGGTGATGGCTTTGCAAACCATTGTATAAGCCTACCTAAGCTGCATATATTCCTAACATATAAATTAGATCAAACAACGAACCTAAATCAGGGGTCCCCAAACTCTTCAAGTCATCGACCCCTAATAATAATAATAATAATAATAATAATAATAATAATAATTTTATAAACAATAGGTAATATTTATATTATGAGAACTATAAGATTTAACCTAGACTTTTGTATTAAAACTGTTGATATTATTAATGGGAAGGATGCATCTGATGACCGTGAACAAGGACACTGATACTTGGTTTGTGACTGATGAGCATTAGCGGTAAGTCACCAGGTTCTTCCAGGTTCATTCTGTTCCTCTGCTTAGTTAGAATTACATTTGCATGGCTAAAAACAGCTTCAACAATGTACCAACTTGGGATAGAAAGTAAAAATGGCTCAATCACTGCAGAAAACCCGGGGTATTTAGCAACAGGTGAGGAAGTACGTTCAGTACGGGAAGCGAACAGGACTACTACATGTATGTATATACTTCTTGGGACAGGAGAGATGAGAGAGACAAGGGGATAGGCTGGAAGGTCACAACGCTAAGCACGTCCCCAGATATTTACTGACCCCTTTTCACCTGCAGTCATTTATCGACCCTTAGAGATCGATACTGACCACTTTGGGAAGCCTGTCTTGAATGGATAAATAATACAGTACCAGAGTTCTAATTAACTGGCCTATGTAACACTTTTGCACACAAGAAAATATGAAATTTTGCAGGTGCTCATTGTGTATGGTTTGTGTGTTACAGTAGAGCAAGTGTGCAATCATTACCGTGCTGTTGCACTGTTGATAGAAGCAGTGAGGCACGCCAGGGACGGGGTGTTTCCAGCGTGTGGTTGTCCAGACTGGAACACCTTCCAAGATAACACCTGTGATTGTCACATTGTTAATAACTTTGGCTTGTATCCGAATGCCAGGTAAGATAACTTAAAGTTTATAGTCATTTGATATATATAGTTTATCCTTTGGTCGTGTATAATAATAATAATAATAATAATAATAATAATATTTATTAATTCTGTTTATAGTTTAGACAATTGATTTTTGTTTATGATAGATTAGGTTTGGTTAACGCAAATACTTGTGTATATTTACCCAACAAGAAGTAAATTAGAAGAATGCAGCTATTTAATTTCACAATAAGGATAATTTAGACAAATATTCTGTTACAGTTACGGTAATCCAGAGTTACTGTTACTTGTGTCTTACAGTAACCTTTACCAGCCACAGTGTTGTGACTTGTTCCACCCATAGACAGGGATGTAAGCCACAGTGCCGTGTCTTCCTTTGCTGATGACACCCGAATTGCCGTGACAGTGTCCACCATTGAAAACACTGCAAGACTCAAAGTGGACATCAACCAAATCTTTAAACGGGCCGCAGAAAACTATACAAAGTTCAATGAAGAGAAATTTCAGTTACTCAGATATGGAAAACACGAGGAAATTAAAGCTGTATCAGGGTATACAACAAATTCTAACCACATGATTGAGCGAAAAGCTAATGTGAAGGACCTGGGAGTGATAATGTCAGAGGATCTCGCCTTCAAGAATCACAACAATGTATCTACCTCATCTGCTAAAAAAATGATAGGATGGATAGTGAGAACCTTCAAAACTAGGGACGCCAAGCCCATGATGATTCTCTTTAAATCGCCTATGCTCTCTAGGCTGGAATACTGCTGTACACTAACTGCCCCCTTCAAGGCTGGCGAAATTGCTGACCTGAAGAATGTACAGAGAACTTTCACGGCATACATGAGTACGATAAAGCACATAAATTACCGAGAACGGTTGAAATTCCTTGATTTGTATTCCCTGGAACGCTGTCAAGAAAGATACATGACAATATACACTTGGAAAATCTTAGAAGGATTAATACCAAATTTGCATACGAAAATCACTCCCTATGAAAGCAAAAGATTTGGCAGGAGATGCAACATCCTCCCAATGAAAAGCAGGGGCGTCACGAGTACACTGAGACAACACAATAAGTGTCAGGGGCCCAAAACTGTTCAATTGCCTCCCAGCATACATTAGGGGGATTACCAATAGACCCCTGAAGAAGACGCTGGACAGGCACCTAAAGTCAGTACCTGACTAGCCGGGCTGTGATTCATATGTCGGTTTACGTGCGGCCAGCAGTAACAGCCTGGTTAATCAGGCCCTGATCCACCACGAGGCCTGGTCTCAGACCGGGCAGCGGGGGCATTGAACCCCAAAACCCTCTCCAGGTATGCTCCAGCCCCACTACTGTGACTTGTTCCAGTCCCACTACTGTTTAATGGTTTGTTTGGTAGGCTGTAAGCGGGTGGTTAATGATAAACGTCTTCGGAGGCTTCTTACTTTATTGTTATGTCGTGGTGGGTACACAGGCTTGTGTGTTTGTGCCCATGGCCCGGGAGGGCCATGCCACGAGAGAGGACACTTCTTGACTGAGTGAAGAGTGACGCCAGAGAGAGCGTGGCAAGGGCAGACAGGCTGGCGTGCCCACCGAGAGGCCTGGCTACAGAGGGCAACACTTGAGTGGCGCGAAATATGAACTAAGCTGGCAGACAGCATGGGCTGTCTGTGCACACAGTGCAGGCTGTCTACACTACTGTGACTTGTTCCAGCCCCACTACTGTGACTTGTTCCAGCCCTCTATTGTGACTTGTTACAGTCCCACTACTGTGACTTGTTCCAGCCCTGCTAATGTGACTTGTTCCAGCCCCACTACTGTGACTTGTTCCAGTCCCACTACTGTGACTTGTTCCAGCCTCACTACTGTGACTTGTTCCAGCCCCACCACTGTAACTTGTTCCAGTCCCACTACTGTGACTTGTTCCAGCCCCATTACTGTGACTTGTTCCAGTCCCACTACTGTGACTTGTTCCAGCCCCATTACTGTGACTTGTTCCAGCCCCACTACTGTGACTTGTTCCAGCCCCACTACTGTGACTAGTTCCAGTCCCACTACTGTGACTTGTTCCAGCCCCATTACTGTGACTTGTTCCAGTCCCACTACTGTGACTTGTTCCAGCCCCACTACTGTGACTTGTTCCAGCCCCACTACTGTGACTTGTTCCAGCCCCACTACTGTGACTTGTTCCAGCCCCACTACTGTGACTTGTTCCAGCCCCACTACTGTGACTTGTTCCAGCCCCACTACTGTGAGTTGTTCCAGCCCCACTACTGTGACTTGTTCCAGCCCCACTACTGTGACTTGTTCCAGTCCCACTACTGTGACTTGTTCCAGCCCCACTACTGTGACTTGTTCCAGCCCCACTACTGTGACTTGTTCCAGTCCCACTAATGTGACTTGTTCCAGTCCCACTACTGTGACTTGTTCCAGTCCCACTACTGTGACTTGTTCCAGTCCCACTACTGTGACTTGTTTCAGCCCCACTACTGTGACTTGTTCTAGCCCCACTACTGTGACTTGTTCCAGCCCCACTACTGTGACTTGTTCCAGCCCCACTACTGTGACTTGTTCCAGCCCCATTACTGTGACTTGTTCAAGTCACACTACTGTGACTTGTTCCAGTCCCACTACTGTGACTTGTTCCAGCCCCACTACTGTGACTTGTTCCAGTCCCACTACTGTGACTTGTTCCAGCCCCACTGCTGTGACTTGTTCCAGTCCCACTACTGTGACTTGTTCCAGCCCCACTACTGTGACTTGTTCCAGCCCCACTACTGTGACTTGTTCCAGTCCCACTACTGGTGACTTGTTCCAGTCCACATACTGTGACTTGTTCCAGTCCCACTACTGTGACTTGTTCCAGTCCCACTACTGTGACTTGTTCCAGCCCCACTACTGTGACTTGTTCCAGCCCCACTACTGTGACTTGTTCCAGTCCCACTACTGTGACTTGTTCCAGTCCCACTACTGTGACTTGTTCCAGTCCCACTACTGTGACTTGTTCCAGCCCCACTACTGTGACTTGTTCCAGCCCACTACTGTGACTTGTTCCAGCCCCACTACTGTGACTTGTTCCAGTCCCACTACTGTGACTTGTTCCAGTCCACTACTGTGACTTGTTCCAGTCCCACTACTGTGACTTGTTCCAGCCCCACTACTGTGACTTGTTCCAGCCCCACTACTGTGACTTGTTCCAGCCCCACTACTGTGACTTGTTCCAGTCCCACTACTGTGGCTTGTTCCAGTCCCACTACTGTGGCTTATTCCAGTCCCACTACTGTGACTTGTTCCAGTCCCACTACTGTGACTTGTTCCAGTCCCACTACTGTGACTTGTTCCAGCCCCACTACTGTGACTTGTTCCAGTCCCACTACTGTGACTTGTTCCAGTCCCACTACTGTGACTTGTTCCAGTCCCACTACTGTGACTTGTTCCAGTCCCACTACTGTGACTTGTTCCAGCCCCACTACTGTGACTTGTTCCAGCCCCACTACTGACTTGTTCCAGTCCCACTACTGTGACTTGTTCCAGTCCCACTACTGTGACTTGTTCCAGTCCCACTACTGTGACTTGTTCCAGCCCCACTACTGTGACTTGTTCCAGCCCCACTACTGTGACTTGTTCCAGCCCCACTACTGTGACTTGTTCCAGCCCCACTACTGTGACTTGTTCCAGCCCCACTACTGTGACTTGTTCCAGCCCCACTACTGTGACTTGTTCCAGCCCCACTACTGTGACTTGTTCCAGCCCCACTACTGTGACTTGTTCCAGCCCACTACTGTGACTTGTTCCAGCCCCACTACTGTGACTTGTTCCAGCCCCACTACTGTGACTTGTTCCAGCCCCACTACTGTGACTTGTTCCAGCCCCACTACTGTGACTTGTTCCAGCCCCACTACTGTGACTTGTTCCAGTCCCACTACTGTGACTTGTTCCAGTCCCACTACTGTGACTTGTTCTAGCCCCACTACTGTGACTTGTTCCAGCCCCACTACTGTGACTTGTTCCAGCCCCACTACTGTGACTTGTTCCAGTCCCACTACTGTGACTTGTTCTAGCCCCACTACTGTGACTTGTTCCAGCCCCACTACTGTGACTTGTTCCAGCCCCACTACTGTGACTTGTTCCAGCCCCACTACTGTGACTTGTTCCAGCCCCACTACTGTGACTTGTTCCAGCCCCACTACTGTGACTTGTTCCAGTCCCACTACTGTGACTTGTTCCAGTCCCACTACTGTGACTTGTTCCAGCCCCACTACTGTGATTTGTTCCAGCCCCACTACTGTGACTTGTTCCAGTCCCACTACTGTGACTTGTTCCAGCCCCACTACTGTGACTTGTTCCAGCCCCACTACTGTGACTTGTTCCAGTCCCACTACTGTGACTTGTTCCAGTCCCACTACTGTGACTTGTTCCAGTCCTACTACTGTGACTTGTTCCAGCCCCACTACTGTGACTTGTTCCAGCCCCACTACTGTGACTTGTTCCAGTCCTACTACTGTGACTTGTTCCAGTCACAGTACTGACCTGTATTTATCAAGTTATTTATCCATTACTAACACCATCATTAATAATCTTTTTAACCCCCCTAATTCTTTTTTCCAGCGCTCTGGGCAGGTTTTACTTCACCACAAATTCCGAAGCCCCGTTTTCAAGACCACTCGCTTGAGCGACCATCGCTTGAGCGACCATCGCTTGAGCGACCATTGCCTGAGCGACCATCACCTGAGCGACCATCGCCTGAGCGACCATCGCCTGAGAGACCAGAGACCATATATATATATATATATATATATATATATATATATAATATATATATATATATATATATATATATATATATATATATATATATATATCAAGGGTGGAGGAGGGGTTCGACCCGCGGACGGTAGATCATGACTGTCAATTTAGAGACCACGGTTGGAACCCTCCTTCATCTTTCTCTTTGTTCATCCACCATAGTTCATTACATCTTAATTTGAGTTGATATTAACATTGTTGTTGACATTGTTATTGTTTTTGTTGGCAGTGTTAGTGTTGACATTGTTAATGTTAACAATTTTTAATAGTCACCCATTCAAAATTTTCTATTGTGTCTATGGTGATGTTTGTGTTAGTCTTATATACATTGCTGGCGGACTATTTTATGTATATTTTGTTTTTTAAATCTCGCAATCTAACATTTAATATTCGTGATGTAATCAGCAATATCGAAAACTTACTGAATTTGCATCAATAAAAATAATTTGAAATCTGTTATTTGTGTTTACTTATTAATCTACCTTCATCTCTCACTATTTTTGTACATTATATTCTAAACTTGAATGTTGCGAAGGTCCAGTTTATGTACACGTTAAGACTGGCACTACTCCAGTCCAGTTTATGTACACGTTAAGACTGGCACTACTCCAGTCCAGTTTATGTACACGTTAAGACTGGCACTACTACAGTCCAGTTTATGTACACGTTAAGACTGGCACTACTCCAGTCCAGTTTATGTACACGTTAAGACTGGCACTACGTCCTGGGAGACAGTAATGGTGAAGCTGGAGGTGCTGTCCTGGAGACAGTAAAGGTGAAGCTGGAGATTTTGTCCAGGTAGTCGGGAATTATACGCAGGAAGGAATGCATATAAATGGCCTCATGGGAGACAGGAGCCGTAGTGGGGAAACAAGTGTAGTCAAAGATAAAACCAATATTGCAAACTAGAAATACCACAGGAAATAGCAAACAAGAGGACTCCACTAGCAATAGTGAGGATATATTACCAAAAACAACTGGTGGGAGCTCCATTGTTGGTGCTAGGGAGGTTAGGAATAAGACAGGTAAACATGCACCAACAGGGAATACAGTCACAGAAACCCAAGGCAAACGGAAACCAAACCTGTGCACATACTATGCACTTGGTATCTGCAGACATGGGAAATCTGGAAAAACAGATGGGACGTGCAACTATGACCACCCTGGAAAATGCCATGCCCATATGACAACAGGAAAATGCAAACTCCCTTCCTGTAAGCTTTTTCACCCTGAAGTGTGTCCCTCTTCAGTACAGGAAAGACAGCGCTATAACTTAAATTGCCAGGCACACCATCTAAAGGGGACAAAAAGATACAAAACATCCAGGCCATGGGAAAACCTGGGTAGCCACAGCCACTCAAGAGGGAGAGGTTTTTTTTAGTGCCAGGAAGGAGAAAAAAACTGGCAGGAAATGGCAGAAATCGTACACCAAATCCAGTCATTCCTGGAGTGGAACCACAGTCGATGGCCTCCACTCCAAACCAACAGATACAGATACTAATGCCGGAAAAAAATATTCCCCCAGTACCAACAATATCACCAGTACGATGACATTCTTCTTTGCAAATATACAGGGTCTAAAGCCAGCAACAAACAACAAAATACCTTTCATCAGTGGACTGCTTGCAGAGGCAAAGGCAATGTTCGCGGCTTTCACTGAGACCCACATAAAGGATCACTTGGACAATGACATATGGATCCCAGGTTACAACCTATACAGATGTGACAGAGTGAACAGCCAAAAGGGAGGGGGGGTTGGCCTGTACATTGCAGAGTCACTTGTTTGCACAGAACTGCTTAATGCCTCAAATGATGTAGTGGAAGTTTTAGCAGTAAAGATCGAGAACCAAAACCTAGTCATTGTGGTAGTCTACAAGCCTCCGGATGCAACATCCCAGCAGTTCCAGGAACAGCTGTTAAAAATTGACCACTGTCTGGAAAACCTTCCAGCTCCTGCACCCAACATCTTGCTCCTGGGGGATTTCAACTAAAGGCACCTAAAATGGACGAATATAGCAAATAATATTGTTGCAGTAATAACACCAGGAGGCAGCTCTGATGAAAACTCACACTCACACGAGCTTTTAAATCTCTGCACAAAATTCAATTTAAACCAGCAAATAATAGAGCCTACTAGACTGGAGAATACACTAGACCTCATCTTCACTAACAATGATGATCTGATACGAAATGTCACCATATCAAATCACAACATAATTGAGGTTCAGACATGTATGCGCGGAGCCCCAGACCGACATAATGAGATTAGTCACGAGGGAGCATTCACCAAATTCAGCTTCAATAACAAAAACATAAAGTGGGACCAAGTAAACCAAGTCCTAACCGATATAAGCTGGGAAGATATACTAAGCAACACAGACCCCAACTTATGCCTAGAACAGATTAACTTGGTGGCACTCGATGTATGCACAAGGCTTATTCCTCTAAGAAAAAGGAGGAGTAGATGTAAAATAGAAAGAGACAGGCGCTCCCTTTACAGGCGACGGAAAAGAATAACAGAGGGGCTAAAAGAGGTCAGTATATCTGAAATGCGTAGGGAGACACTGGTCAGATAAATAGCAAGCATCGAACTTAAGCTAAAGGAATCTTATAGGAGTCAGGAATAGCGGGAAGAACTAAAAGCCATAAATGAAATCGAAAGAAACCCAAAGCATTTCTTCTCCTATGCCAAATCAAAGTCGAGAACAACGTCCAGTATTGGGCCCCTACTTAAACAAGATGGGTCCTACACAGATGACAGCAAGGAAATGAGTGAGCTTCTCAAGTCCCAATATGACTCAGTTTTTAGCAAGCCGCTAACCAAACTGAGAGTCGAAGATCAAAATGAATTTATGAGAGAGCCACGAAATTTGGTTAACACAAGCCTATCTGATATTATCCTGACGCCAAATGACTTCGAACAGGCGATAAATGACATGCCCATGCATTCTGCCCCAGGGCCAGACTCATGGAACTCCGTGTTCATCAAGAACTGCAAGAAACCCCTATCACGAGCCTTTACCATCCAATGGAGAGGGAGCATGGACACGGGGTCGCCCCACACAGTTACTAAAAACAACAGACATAGCCCCACCCCACAAAGGGGGCAGTAAAGCAACAGCAAAGAACTACAGACCGATAGCACTAACATCCCATATCATAAAAATCTTTGAAAGGGCCCTAAGAAGCAAGATCACCACCCATCTAGAAACCCATCAGTTACACAACCCAGGGCAACATGGGTTTAGAACAGGTCGCTCCTGTCTGTCTCAACTACTGGGTTACTACGACAAGGTCCTAGATGCACTAGAAGACAAAAAGAATGCAGATGTAATATATACAGACTTTGCAAAAGCCTTCGACAAGTGTGACCATGGCGTAATAGCGCACAAAATGCGTGCTAAAGGAATAACAGGAAAAGTTGGTAGATGGATCTATAATTTCCTCACTAACAGAACACAGAGAGTAGTAGTCAACAGAGTAAAGTCCGAGGCAGCTACGATGAAAAGCTCTGTTCCACAAGGCACAGTACTCGCTCCCATCTTGTTCCTCATCCTCATATCTCACATAGACAAGGATGTCAGCCACAGCATCGTGTCTTCCTTTGCATATGACACCCGAATCTGCATGACAGTGTCTTCCATTGCAGACACTGCAAGGCTCCAGGCGGACATCAACCAAATCTTTCAGTGGGCTGCAGAAAACAGTATGAAGTTCAACGATGAGAAATTTCAATTACTCAGATATGGTAAACACGAGGAAATTAAATCTTCATCAGAGTACAAAACAAATTCTGGCCACAAAATAGAGCGAAACACCAACGTCAAAGACCTGGGAGTGATCATGTCGGAGGATCTCACCTTCAAGGACCATAACATTGTATCAATAGCATCTGCTAGAAAAATGACAGGATGGATAATGAGAATCTTCAAAACTAGGGATGCCAAGCCCATGATGACACTCTTCAGGTCACTTGTTCTATCTAGGCTGGAGTATTGCTACGCACTAACGGCACCTTTCAAGCCAGGTGAAATTACTGACCTAGAAAATGTACAGAGAACCTTCACGGCGCGCATAACGGAGATAAAACACCTCAATTACTGGGAGCGCTTGAAGCTCCTGAACCTGTATTCCCTGGAACGCAGGCGGGAGAGATACACGATTATATACACCTGGAAAATCCTAGAGGGACTAGTACCGAACTTGCACACGAAAATCACTCACTACGAAAGCAAAAGACTTGGCAGACGATGCAACATTCCCCCAATGAAAAGCAGGGGTGTCACTAGCACGTTAAGAGACCATACAATAAGTGTCAGGGGCCCGAGACTGTTCAACTGCCTCCCAGCACACATAAGGGGGATTACCAACAGACCCCTGGCAGTCTTCAAGCTGGCACTGGACAAGCACCTAAAGTCGGTTCCTGACCAGCTAGGCTGTGGCTCGTACGTTGGTTTGCGTGCAGCCAGCATTAACAGCCTGGTTGATCAGGCTCTGATGCACCAGGAGGCCTGGTCACAGACCGGGCCGCGGGGGCGTTGACCCCCGGAACTCTCTCCAGGTAAACTCCAGTCCAGTTTGAAAAAAAAAAATCATACCTAATGACGCTAAAACATTCCTGCCAAGTACACTGAGCGCTACACGTTCACAAGGAGTCTCAAAATACGAAGGTGCTGACAATTATTTACTGATTTCGAATTATAAGTAGACACCCTACCTAATATAAATTATCCATAATGCGTAACAGTGAAGGGTGAATATATTAGCACCTCCACGTGCGCGCGCGCGCACACACACGCGCACACACACACACTATTGGTAAGTTTTAGAATTACTGGTATTACTACTGGTATTTATTAGCACACACACATACATACACACACACCCACACCCACACACACGCACACACACACACACACACACACACACCACACACACACACACACACACACACACACATACACCTCGCATACTCCCTAACCCCCTCCGTCCCTCCCTCCCCACCCCCCTCTCTTTCTCCCTCCCTCTAGTTCTCTCTCTCTCTCTCTCCCTCTCTATCCATCTTTCCCCTCCCTCTCCTCTATCTCTCTCTCTTTCTTTCTATCTTCCTCTCCACCTCTCGCTCTCTCTATCTCTCTCCTCCTCACACATACCTTCCATTCATCTTCCCTTTCCTCCTGTCCCTCCCCCCTGGCTTCCCCTCACTTCCCTCCCTTCCCAGTCATCATCCCTAGTCTTCTCCCTATCATTCTCCCTCCCTCCCTTGTGTATATTCTCTCTCCCTCTCTCTCTATCCCTCTCTCTCTCACTCCCTCTCTCTCACACACAAGCTCCTTTCTGTGGTTAAAAAAAAGGGTAACCCAAGAGGGTGGAGACCCAGGGGTCTGGAGGCAGAACCCAGGAGAGAGGAACCTGGGAGTAAAGATTGGGAGTTAGAATTCACAAAAATGGAGGAAGAG